TCACATAGAAAAAAATTAACAAGTTTAAAAAATTATTTCGTAAAACACGGGTAAAGAATTTTACAATATTTTTATCCTATTCTGTATGGGTTTTTTTATTTGTGAGAAATATAGACTTTACCGCGTACAGTCTAACGGCGGTGCCGTATTGAGTAACTTTAATAAAGAATTTAACATTTGTGGGTGTTTGAATTTGTTTCTTTTGAGCAAAGTAGTTGCATCAAGAAGTTATTGGTTATACATATGTATTAATTATTGCGAGTAATCAATGATTTATTTATAATATTCATGTCATAAATTGAATTTAAAAAATGTTCCCTTTTTAATAACTCTCAAGTTCAAGTAATTAGATTTATTAGATTTAATAAAATAATTTTTCTACTGACAAATAATTGTGTTCCAATATTTTCTTCATAAATTATTTGCTTTCAAGATAATATTTTGTTGGAACAAAACAAATTTATTGTTGCAAGTATTTCTTTCACTTTATTAATTATAATTCAAGAAAATGTATTTATTTGAAACAAGCAAATTTTTTCTCCGGGTTATATATATAAAGAATAATGTATGATACGCATGAAACAGTGATGTTTCCATGTGCACTTTTATCCGAACAAAATAGATCGAAATTTCCTTTTCTCCTAGGAATACCATCTCAGAAAATAGGTCGCATCTCAAAAGGCGCGAATTGTAAATGACATTCATCTCGAAAACCGTTTTGCTCGGAATTTGCGTGACTCGCAAAAATCATGCAGGCGCTTCGCGGAACGGAATTCCGCATCGTTTTGATCCCCGTGACTTTTATCCCTGGTATACGGTTACTTCCGCATCCGGCTCGTCGACTACCTGGCATCTTCGACCGACATTCTTCGGCGGGGGCGATCCGCCAAGTGCGAAACGAGATTGTCGGTATTTGTTTCGTCTATGGGAGATGTCTGTGGAAGGCATCATTTGCTCGCACTCACGCTTTTCACACAGAATGGGATGATAAAAAGCGATATCGCGTGTAAAAGGTAGAGCTGAATTGCCCGGAAAAACACGAAACAACTTTGCCCTGTGGTCGACGAGATGCTTTCTTAAAAGCGAAGGATTTACCTTCAATGCCTGCGCTCGATGACTCAATTAGTTTTTTCTTGTGGAAAATAAGAATGGGGGTACACGGAGATAAAAGAACAGACGATAAAGATTAACTATTGAGATAAATGCGTGAATTTTTATTGAGAATTTTCGACGAAATTTGAAGTTTTAAATATTCCTCGGTCAAATAAATAAAAGTTTGAAACGTCAAATAATTTTTTTTGTCAAAAAGATTATATTTAATTAATTTTAAACATCAAGTTTTCACTGATAACTTATATATAATAAGTGCAAAATTTAAGCCACTACTGTATTGTTACTTGTTATAATTTTCTCATCAGTTAGATGCCAAATTATTCAAAATACAGTCGATAACTCGAATTTCAAGGAACCAAAAAAAACTATTCGAGTTATAGAGTTTTCGACTTATTGAAATTCGAGTAAAAGAAGATTAACATAATGAAAATTCAACTTACGGAAGTTTTGTACAGAGAGTTTATAATTTCCCGATTATAATGGCTTTTAGAGGAAAAAAACTCAATATTTAACAGTGAATTATTTATTGCATACATATGATAAATGTAACCATAGAACAAAATACCAGGCAATTACTCACGGTTACACATAGCTACTCGGAGAGAATTTTATTTTAAAATTTATCCTCAAAATCATATTAATCGTAGGACAACATAGTATTTCGATGAATTTTATGTAATTTTCACTATTTTTTCAAATATATACTATAACAAATTTATTGTAGTGTACAGTTAAAAAAACAGAAAATCACATAAAATTTGTCGAAATACTATGTTGTCCCATGATTAACATGATTTTCAAGGCAAATTTTAAAAGGAAATTTTCTACGTGTGCAACTTCGAATTATAGAAGCAGTGACAATGGAAGTTCGACTTATAGAGGTGAACTTCAATTTGCAGAGGTTTGGCTACTTTAAATTCGAGCTACAGAGTTCAAATATATACCTAAATGCCTGACAAATAATTCAAGTTTCGGTAGGTTTTATTTCGATTTATAGAGGTTGTCCACAGCAGAGCGGAAGAGGATGAACAAAATTTTCGCCTTATAGAAGTTTTCGAGTTGTAGAGGTTTCACTGTACAACTCGAAAACTCGTACTTTAAGAAACTTCAAAAGGAGTTAAAGAGATCTCTCTGTGGAAATTGAATTAGCACTGCAGCAATTAGTAACGTCAATTTTTTTTACGCGCACACGAACGATTACAATAATAATGACTTATGCACGCGGCAGGTCTGCAAACCGCTGCCACGTCGAGCCGCGCTCGCCATTATTAATTATCTCGCGTTGCACTCCATCAGCAGCTAATCAATCGGGGTCAGTGACTAATCGGCGCGAGTACGACAGATCGCGAGGCGTCCAGATCGTTCGAGCTTGCTGCATACTAGATTGGGGGGGTATGGTATCAAAACGAGAGAGTTGTGCCGTCCTATTGGGAAGCCTTCTGGGAAATCTTGGGAAACCTCCTACTCTATTTATCATATTATAGGGTGTATAGTCCGTATTCGTTTCTGTCCCATTTTTTACTACGACTATTAGATCAATCCACGGGGTCTCGCTTCGTCTGCGTGTGCGACATACGTTGCCGTGAATTACAATGATGTCCGACATAAATGTAAGTGGAAAATTAGATGAAAAGACACTATGTTATCATTATATAAACATAATCTTGTAGATCGACGTATAACATGATGGAAGAGCCGAATGAATTTAAATAATGAAAATAGTTTCCGCCAAATGTTTAAGAAAGTTCATGCAAACAGGTTAGCGGAAGAGAGAAGCGTGGGTGAAGCGCTGCAGTTTGAAAAGTCAATGACAAAGAGATAGATCCTTTTAATTGATACATATATTAAAACGCCATTAATGTACACTGTCACGTTCTCCTTTTCCAATCTCCTCTCTCTGCAATTCCTTCGACTTTATCTCGTGACCGGAATAACCATCTCGAAAGAATACGATCAAAAAATTACGCGCAACGACCTGTTACGGCCACGTTAGCCGGATCGATCCTGTCTCTTTCATTTCCGCTTCGCCGAGGGAAGGAAAGACTACGGATCCAAAGTGAAAGGTACGCCGAACCGCGAATACTTCGGAGCTCCTAAATCGCTCCGGAGTAAGTCACGCAAACTCGCAAGGAAAGTTCGGAAAATGTTCTTGAAAACTACGGGAAGAGTATTAGCGGCGCACGTATAAGGCCGTCATGCCCGGTGTCCGGCTATAAATGCGTTCTCCATCGGCGGCACAACTACCGTTTGCATAATTTGGGAACCATAATATATTATACATATATTACAAACTAATATTGCACGTACTAAGAGCTAAAATTTATTAGAAAATTATTTCCACTTTCTTTTTATTGCATGAGCTGTTCCGGAAGCTTTTAACCAGGGTTGTGCATCTACGCGTAAAATATAATACTCTACGTATACGTGTAGACAACGTAAACTATAAGTGTCATCTATGTAGACAGTCAGTAGACTATATATTTATTCATTTAATAAATACATATAATTTAACGTTTATGTAAAAAAAACTACCATTTGAGTAAGAAAAATTCTCTGGTTACATTCTTAATCTTAATTTCGTAATTAAATTAATGTTCAAAATACATCAAGATTATTCTAAAGATGTCGTGGTATAGCCTGTTCTTTAGCCTGTTCTTAGATACATTTTGAACATTTCTACTGTGGATAGAGACTGTTTTATAATTTAATTCTTTTATATTGTATATATCAGGGTTGTGCGTCTACGCGTAAAATATTATACTCTATGTTTACGTGTAGACAACGTAAACTGTTGTATAAGTGTCATCTATGTAGACAGTCAGTAGACTATATATTTATTCATTTAATAAATACATATAATTTAACGTTTATGTAAAAAAAACTACCATTTGAGTAAGAAAAATTCTCTGGTTACATTCTTAATTTTAATCTCGTAATTAAATTAATGTTCAAAA